TTGAGCATCTGGCTGGGATCAAAATTAGGAACTAGTTGATGGAAATATGCCAACATAGCCTCCCTCTCTGCTCTGACTGCTTCCATTATAGTTTCCCTTGACTTCGTCTCAATCCTCAAGGTCTCTTCTCTGACTGCCTCCAATCAGACTTTCCTTCAATTTGTCACCAAATTGAAGAACTGAGTTGGGGAAACGCCAGCACCAACTCCTCTGACTCTCCCACCATGCTCGGGGGTTCCCAAAGCAAGAGTCAAGACATCATTGGTCCCGGAGACAGTCAGAGTGCCTTCGGAGACTTGCTTTTGCAAATCATCCTAAAAGAGAGAAAGAGAGATTGTTAGAAACTGAGCAGAGTGTAAAACAGATAAAACAACCGACGTTGTAATTATAAACAACGATGGTTTTCTTAAATTACTGACGTGGTATAAATTTAATACGTCTGTATTTAAATACCGTCGTTGTTTATAATTTACAACATTGTGAGATAAAACCCGTTGTATATTCAAAATAAAACAGATTAAAACATAAATTAAAGACCGTCGTAGTATTTACAGTAAGACGACGGACTATTGAACAAATAGACGTAGAACTTAATTTCATACGGCTGCACAAAATTACCGTCGTTGTATAAACATACTAACGTCTAGATAAGATAAAACCGTCGTAACTTTTAATGAAGAAGTGAAAAAACTCGATTGAAATATGCATTCTTTTCCAGAAATTGTGCACCACAAATTTCAGTGAAATAGACAGAGAGAGGGAGAGTGTGTGCGTGAGTAAACTTAAAACACAAATGCAGTTCATAGAGGAATTTAATCCGTCGTATTAATTCTATCTAGACGTCTACTTTATTCAAAAATCGACGTCCTATTCATTTTAAAACGTCGGTAAATTAAGCCCGTCGTGGTATTTATTTTATAACGTCGCTTATTTAAACGTACAACGTCTATAAAAAATAAAACACTCTGTTTTTCAAATTTAGAACAGAGTTAGTGAGACTTACGATTATTTTTGCCTTCTTTGCAACCTTTGGATCATGGATGTTTCCTGTTTTATCTTCTCTTGCCTTCTTCCATAGAACAGCTCGATTGATTTCTTCAACATCGGGCATGGTTTCTATCAAGTGGTCCTCCAAACCAACATACCCTTTTCTAGACAACCTATGGTTGTACTCCAATTTCTCCCTCCTCTGTCTCTGTTCAGCAT